CTAATCTTTTCCCTCTGTAGAGGAAGCTTCTTGGAAGAAACATCCCAGCAAAAGGAGGGTGACTTTCTTTGCTGGCATTCCTAACCCTTCCTCATGACCACAGCAGCTCATGCTGATATTCCTCATTTTCGATGTTAAGAATTACCAACAACCCCAAATGAAAATGTGAGCAAGGAACCTAAGTAAAAGAGAACGTTGGCAAGTGCTAGGGAAATGGGGATATATGAGTAGGTTAACCTAGATATTTATGCCTCACGCCTTGCGGTATAATTAGAACACCAAGAGAAGATGCTACAACTCTTAAAATAGAAAGAAAGAAAAACTAAGGACTGTATTCAGTCCACTCCTAAAATGATGATGATCCATCTTAGAAAAGAGACTATTCACTCAGTTAAAATTCAGCCTTCTTCAAGGGCGAATTCACCCTTCATTTAACCCTGTTTAAAATGCATTTCAGTCTATGTACTGAGGAACAACAATATAATCTACATTCACCTTTTGCCTCGTAGAAACACCTGCATGTGAGAAATTCTGATTCCTTTCTCCCTCTCTCCTTAGGAAGTAATGTGAAAACACAAACATCTCTGAAGAGCAGTAGAAAAATTCTAATGAAAAACTGTAGACCGAGGCTTATTTGGAGTGGGCGAGCAAAGTCTGCTGAGATGTTTTGAAGGGTGGCAGCAGCAAACTTCCATATCAGAGGGAGATATTTGCTAGGATTGGGCAAGGGTAAGAGGCAAATCTAACAATTCTTTAGGATGGGAGTGAAAAGATAATAAAACAGTCATTCTAAAGGGCTAAGGCAGTAAAAAGCAGGAACAGCTTTATATGATATTTGTCTGGCTGATAGCATCACTTAGTATGTAAATACCCATCTATGTGAACATTTTATTGCTTTCCACACACATTTTCCACAGCTGACAAGTGTGTTTGTTTACACATCTATAAACCATTCTGCAAATACTGCTCTCGCAAGTCAGGAATATAAATGCCCATATGTCAGAAATATGATTGCACTGTGTTATAAGTTTAATTGTAAAATTGAGTGTGTGAGCACAAAGGTATCTATCTAGCTTTGTTGCTTAATTCTTGATAATTTTAAATGCGTGGACAATTATTTTCCCTCCAGATGCTGCTTATTGAAATTTTCAAGTTCGGATTTTTTTGAGAGAGGGAATTGCCAGAGTGTCATCTGCTGCTCCCTGCTGGCAAGATACAACTTTACAGGTCTGGGGGTCTTGCTGGGTAAAATAAACTGAAATACTTTCTATTACTTTCTTGCTCTGAAAAAAAATGCTGTTTTTGGCATATTCATTCAGAATCAGAGCAAGGATTTGAACCAAGTTACTTGCTTACTTGCAATTCAGGAACTGTGTTGCTAACCAGGCTACTATGGACTGTTCCAAGACTCTCTCTCTCTCTCTCTCTTTTTTTTTTTTTGGTAAATCTCAAGTCCTCTCTGCTTTTCAGGTTCTCTTTACCCTAACATTTCTCACTTCTCCACCTTCACCTCCCCAGAATCCAAAGATTTTAGGGTTTTTTTTTTGCTCTTGACTTTTATTATACATTTGGAAATTTCATTTTTTTAAATGACTGGTTTGCTTATGTTCATAAGATCTCCCTCAAAAATGGATTTCACGAGGAGAAAAGGGTTAAAAATTTCAAGTATATGGCTAGGAAGAAGCTATTAGGAATATGATTAAATATGCTAGTTGTTAATTTTATATTAAAAAAACCACATTGGATAAATAGAAGTGCTTTTTAGGGGAACAGGTTTCAGGATCCTTGGGTCTAAGAATTTTTGTTGATCCAAGACAATCATCTGCTCAACATCCTTTACAATAAACATTTACAGTCTAATGAATCACTTAATTGGTCTTCATAAAGTAATATGAAAGCAGTTCTTGGTTCCTTAACATAATTTTTTTTCATTCAATTCAAAAAATATTTTGAATGTCAGATATCAGATTATGCTGAACTCAGAAGGACAGTCTTAGTCCTATTCTTTCCTTTCCTCTTGGTACATTTATCCTTAATGTTGCGACTCTGCTAAGGAGATGGTGAGACGCTGTGACTCTTAGGTCCAAGAGTCTTCAGTGGTTTGGGACATTTTTCCAATGCCACTGGGCTATTGACATACACACAAAAAAAGAGCACAACTGCCTGAGAAATGGCTTCCCCATTAAAAGTTAATGTATTTTTAGGTGTTACAGAATTAATACGGTTTCTCATTTCTCACTTGCTCTCCTATCTGTTGTTTGCACAGCAGAAAATAGAAGAGAGGCTGTAGAAGGTGGAAGTAACCAGTATGTCCTCCAGATACAGGAGCTTTTGGTTGGACTTTTGCCCACCCCCTTTCCTGAGGGCTCTCCAGTTGCTTCCCAGTAGCTTGACTTATTTCACAGTGCTGAGCTGTGTGGAGCTGACCTCATGCAGTAGCCTTGAGGGATGGCGATATGGACCTCTGAAGCAGGAGCTGTTGAGTCTTCAGCAGTGACATGGATGTTTATGGTGGGAGCTGCAATAACGTCGCCTGTGAGCAGTATAGGACAAGATCAAAACCACTCCTCTGCCACTGGGAATTTTAGACACTTGGGAGATGTGCATCCGATCCCAGGAATAAACCTTTGCATGAGTATTATCCTTTAAACCCAGTAAGATTTTTTTTTAATGTTGTTATAAACAAATATGGAAAATTGCATATGAGCAGGATCCATTACACACATTTTTTTTTCAAATGATATCATTTTAAGTTCTTGCTGATGCTATAGGAAGTACTCAGATTGGCTTCATGTCTTGTTGGAGCTGTCGTGGTGAAGTTTCTGCCCTGAAAAGTAATCCTCATCTAAATGAGAATAATGAAGGTGTAGTGATATTCCTTAGCTGCAGCTTGTATCTTATGGCTTTGAAGCATGTTGGAAGATGTGATGGATAGCATGTTGCTTGCTCTCTGTCGCTGGAGATGGCTGTTTATAGGCAACTTTTGCTTCTGCTCTCACTCTACATGAAGTGTGAACACATGATGGCCTAAATTTGCCTTCACTGTTTGCCAGAATTTACCTGGAAAATATTTTTAAAGTAAGAAAGGAAAATGGGTAGTTTTGGTTGGAAGTTAGCAGATTTTCAAATCACCGCCTCCAGTCCCTTTGTTAACAGGGGCTGCTTTAACTGGAGCTTGGCCAGTCTGAGCAATAGCCCTCTCCAGGGCAGACCGATAACGCCTGGGTGGAAGAAGTGGTACCAAAAAAGAGCCCAGAGGATGCACAAATGTGAAGGGGAGGTGAGGGAGGAAGGATTAAAGAGTGAAAAGGCTCGGAGCTCCAGACAACGAGGCTGTGTTTGATGCTCTGTGAGTATATTGTCTTTTGATCTTATATGTATTTTTGGTGAGATCCTTTTTATACTTTGACCACTTGACAATCACTTTTCTGGAAAAAAAACAGTGTTCAGTAAACCTGAAAATATCCTCTGCTCTTTGGGATGTCAAGTCCATTTATTTGTGTATTTCAGAATTTTCAGAATGGTTTCAGCTAACAAACTGCAATTCCCTCATCGTCTCATGCAAAGGTGATGCAGATGTTTGAAATCTCTGTGCCTACTGCATATACCAGAAACACTAAACATTTCACCTCCTTGATTTCTCTTGAGTATCACCTACTTCCTGGAAAATCTGGAAGCCTTGCATTTACCACTTCAAATTCTCTGCCAAGTTCCCTTCACTTTCTTTTGCTCCATTTTTGTCTCACACGTTTATTATATGGTGACAAATGCAGTTTTCTTCTGCCACCACAAAATAAGATGTGTGAAACACACACATGTTCTAGTAAGAGACTGCTCTTTATTTCCTGGCTCCAGTTGCAAAACATGAGTCAGGGTTATGAAGGCTGTACTGCTGTGAGGGATGTGTAATCTGCAACCTCAAACTTTACTGGCTTTGCTAAGGTAGCGGAGAAAAAATGGCAAATACGGTTTCTTCAATTTTTTTTTTCATCAGTATTTTCTCCTTCCCCAACGCACCTTGTTTTATTTTTTTGTTTGTTTTCTGGTCACCATTCCCCTCCACTGATTGTATTTACTTACTTTAGAAATGGATGTTATCACTGACAAGAAAAAGAAAATCCCTAAACTGAATATATCAGCACTCTGACTGAGAGAGGTACAGCATTTTTAGAGAAAGATTCTCTCTTCTATTTTGGTTTTAATGCAGACGAGAAACATAACCCATTTGCTATGTTTTCCAAGCGTTATTTCTCTGCATCAACTAGTATCTGCTATCTACTGTGTTATTGTATATAATGACCGAACAGACTTCCTGCAAGACGCTGGTGACATAACACACCTTGCTAATATAAACCAGTTTTAAGTTTTCCGTGCACATCTGCGATGTAGAGGGAGACTCGGTGCGATACAAAATCAGACAGATCTTTTGTGAACTAAGGTGGAACAGGCCCCAAGTTACAAGTTAGAACAAAAACAAGCAAACAAGCAAGCAAGCGGAGAAAGCTGAACACATTATAACTTCCTACTGGACCCAAGCAGTCTAGGAATTTCATGGTAGAATTACATATATACAACAAGCAGTTATTCTGCTGTTTCCCATGGGTGACTGGAAGCATCAGGAACCATGGTACTTCCATGTTAGTTGTAAACAGAGGTTTGGTTTGATTTTTTTTTTAGCAATTTATCCCAGAAAATTCTAATGGATGAGTTGTTCCTGCAATAGAATGACAAATAACTGGGTGACATGCTGTGAAAAAAAACAGAAAATGAGAAATTCTCTCCCATTTTCCAAACCGAGCAGAAACAACACTGATTTCGGTAGGCAAGGTGGAACAGACAATTACACTGGACATGCTTTTAATTTTGAATCTAACCAAATAACTGATGCCTTTTGCAAATGTAATGACTATTGAAGTGATTCCTTTAAAATGAAGCAAAACCAGTGGTTCTCCTTTCTAAAATTAAAGCATTTACCTTATACAAAGTATAAGAAATGTTACCTGTTGCCTCCACCATTCCTTCTAGGATTACAACAATTTCTAGCTCCTCTTTGGGCAACTGGGCTTTGGAAATCTCCCAGAAAGGACTCTGCTGGTTAATTTCATGGCTGATGATCAGTGGTGAAACCAAAAAGAGACGATCATCCCCTGTGTAATAACCTACGTTGATATCTGTCTGGTTGAGTGGTATAAATTCCCCCTCCTTTGTCTGCTTGGATTTGATCAACTTGGCTCGTATTGATGCCTCTACAATATGTGAATTCCTAAGGTCTCCTACTCGGAACATCAGACACAGCTTTCCATCCCGCATGGAAATAACTGCGTTTGTAGAGAAAACCAAGGTTTCTGCCCTCTTCTTGGGTTGGGATATTTTCACAAACATGCAGCCAACCATGAAAGCGTTGACGATAGAACCTAAAACAGACTGAACTAAAAGCAGAATAATTCCCTCGGGACACTTGTCCGTGATGACCCGGTAACCATACCCAATGGTCGTTTCTGTCTCGATTGAGAATAAAAAGGCTGAGACAAACCCATTGAGGTTGCTGACACATGGGGTCCACGTGCTGTCCCCTATATGATCCATATCTCCTCGCACGTAGGCAATTAGCCACCAGATCATTCCAAAGAAGAGCCAGGTCACAGTGTAAACCATGACAAAAATCAACAGGTTGAACCTCCACTTGAGATCGACTAAAGTAGTGAAGATGTCAGTCAAGTAACGGTAAGTCTCTCTGACATTCCCATGGTGGACGTTGCATTTCCCATCCTTCCTAACATACCTCTGGATTTTTCTCTTGGCACATTCTTTGTTTATATTTTTTGGCAGATCCTCTCTAGCTTGTTTGGGCAACTTTGGCTGATGAATAGTGACAGGGCTCTCTATGTCCTGCTCCATTGAGTCTTCTTCCAGTACGTTAGCTGCCATTAAAAACAAACAAAAAAAAGAAGGCAGGCATTATTTTTCTTATTATTTCTCCAAGTCAACAAACAATTTCTTCCTGTATTACTGACATCAAATGGCTATTAATAAATCAAATCATCATCCTTGTTCTTTGCTCCCCTATCAATCAGATGCACAAGGCAAAAGTGCAAATGGTGCTGAGCATCCTCTCTTAGTTTATTGCTAAACAGAAATATGTTGAAGGAAAATTCTTTCTTGGTTTTTATCTCACTTCCTATCAAGACCCAAATTTAGATTCTGCAAGATGTGTTCAAACAAATCTTCCCCCCTCACCACCCTTGGGACCTTCCCCAAATTTCCCCCTTTGCAATTTAATAAATGAGATTTCTTATGCACCAAGAAAGATCTTCTGGGAGATAGCACAGATATAAATGAGGAAATGTATTTGCTCGGGGGTTTCAGTCACCAAGAAGAGCAGAGAAAATGAGCAATTGTTGAGCTATTTTTTCTACCAATTGCATTGCTATGGGGAAAGTATTAAATAAGTATAAGTAGTTTAAAAAACAAACATTTTTTTTATAAAGAACCAATCCTGCTCTTGTGGAAGAAAAGGAAGGCTTTAGTGAAATACATAGATCAAGGGCAATTCAAGCATATTCCTATACAAAATCATTATCTTACTGCTATTGAGACAGAGAAATGTGTAACCTTCTCCCAGTAATGTCAAGCATACAGTACTTCAGAACATAATTTAATTTTAATTCAGTATACCCATGGTCTTTAATTCAGGTGTACCTTTCTCTAATGATACTGTGATCCTCCATAAGTGTCTCACAAGCCTTTAAACCAGAAATGATGGTAACCACTTTGTTTTCTTTCTGTTTCTCAGCCTTTTGAGATAAATGGCTTCATTACTTCATGCAGTTCTTCTTTATGCGCAAGAAAGAAGAATTTACTGAGGAAGAGAGTGGTCTGATCAGATGCATTTTGCAGGGAGCTGAGCATGCAGTGAGGTCATGAGCCCAGTGAAGAAAGAGGTCCCCAGGCCCCCAGGAGCGCTTGCACCAGCAGCATGGGTGTCTCCATACAGGACTGCCCGGGAAGGGACACATGAACCCTGGCGTGCAGACCGCTGCTGCTGGGCAAGTCTGGGGTTCTTCTGCAGAGAGGGGGATGTCTCCTGGGGGAAAGTTATTGCAACTTGAAGGGCAGGCTGGTCTCTCTTATCAATGTGTGCTTTCCAAGATGTGCAGTTTCACCCCCATGGAGAAAGATAACTAGTCTCTGTAAAGTTTTAGGTGTGATCTGAATACTCAGAAAAATATGGGTTAAAGGCAAGTCCCTCCTCTGGCCCACTCTGCTGACAGCCATGCCTCTGGTCAGCCCCATAGCCTACCCACTGTTAAGAGAAAGGCTTGGGGGCTGGCAGCAGCATGACCCCCGGTAGCAGTTTTGTGCTGCAAGACTGCACACTCCATCCTGTGTCATTTATGTAGTTTGCTACTGTGTCTTAAAAGAGTGTTATTGAGGCTGATTGCAGTGGCAGCACTTAAAGACATGTTCCGAACCAGTCAGTTCTGGATGAATTTATCCCAGTTGGTGACAGTGTGCCTACTTGGATTATCACTAATGCTATATAATGTGTGATGAAATAAACACAATAAAAAGGCATTAAAGGAGCCTTGCGAGGCAGACTTAAGCCAAAGCCAGAAAATTCAAAGCTAAGGCATCACACTTTATGGTTAACTCTCTATTGTGCCTAAGGAAATTTCAGTCCACAGGAACTATCACATCACTGCAGCAAGAGACCCCTCACACACTCACGAACAGCCTATGAAGCCTCTGTCTTTTGAGGCTTTAATACAATGTATTTTAGACTAGTAATGTTAGTTTAATGTGGTTCATTATATTTAAGGCATTGTGAATATTTGCTTTTCCTTCCCAATTGGAGTCTGGTGTGAGCGCAGAGTCAATCTGCTCTTGCCCAGACGGCGTGCCTTGCTCCTGTGCTTTCCGCTATAGGGAAGCACGTCCTCGAACTCCCCGCCTGAGCATCATCCTGGCAGAAACTGCAGAGCGTGCTAAAAACCACCGCATCTCCTCCGGGAAGAGACACAGGTGCTGATTTTATTAATGGCATCAGAACAAATCTGAAGGCACGTCCCCATTCAGGAATGCTTACCATTCACATGCTCCAGCATCTAGCCTGCCTTGTACAAGAAGTTTTTTTTTTTTTTTCCATCTAGAAATAATTAATTAGCAATTAAGCACTTTTTATTCCTGTAATAAATTTCACCAATGCTTTCAAAACGCTCTGTACGATGCTTCTGCATCATAACCACCCTTATCTGCCTTTTACCTTACATGAGCTGAGCTGCAGGTAGAGCTTAGGGCTACGTTTTCTCAAGGGGCCACAGGTTTGGTAGCAGGAGCAAGGGGCCTCTGTGTCCCCTCAGCATACAGCGATGGGCTGACACTTTTGCCTTAAGTGCTCTTCAAAGATCTGTTCTTCTAACGTGTGAGCATTTTCTTAGCATAGAGAGGTTGTGCCTGGGCTGAATCCAATCTGGATATGTAAAAGGGGCAGTTCCTAATAGCCCATCCCGGTAACTACATTTAACCTAAACCTTTCTCAGTATAGCAATTTGCTAACACCCCTGCAGACATTTAAATCTGTCTGGAGGCGTCTAGCCATTTTGTAAATTCTTCAGGCTCTTTACAGTGCTGTCATTACTCAGATATTTAGTCTTTTTCCTTTAGTCTTTTTTTTTTCCTAAGATCAGTTTTTTAGTCATGTTCTGTTTGTCCAAGATGCAATCTTACTCTTTCTGCCACCCAAATGCCCCTGTTATGAGACCCAACAAATACCTGCATGGGGAGGCTCCTAGATCAGAAATGCAGCTGTCACCCTCTCCTGATCTGAGGTCTCGCTCCAGAGTGAACCTTGGGAGCAGAAATTCCTGAAATAAGTGATCCAAGGACAGTGCCTCTGTGTGTTTCCATGGAAATGCCTGATGAACAAGTTTTAAACACATGGCAGGGTCCCTGTTCACCACTGAGGCTGAGGAGCCGCCAGATATTGACTTGTGCCTTTGCCACAAAATGCTTTGACTAATTATATTTTTACTTGGTATCAACCCAATTAGCTTCTCCTGTTTATTTCATTTAATTTTCTTTTCAGTTATGTAATGGCTGTCATGATTCCAGGAACCAAGGAGTGAATAGCTGCTATCTCACTTGAGAGATATTTTTTTCTCTCTCTGGTTTTCTTCATGGCAAAAATATATACATTTTAATAACCTGCAAAGCAAAAAACAAAACAAACAAACTAACAAACACCAAAAAACCCAACAAAAACCACTCCTTCTGGACATCTCCCCTCGCTCAGGAAACATTGGGTTTGTTTGAATGCGATGGCCACATAGCAATAGCATGCTGATTTGAGCTATTCTGTTCAAAACAGTTGTTCCAGTGGGTCCCCTAGGTAGGCACAGCCAACATGCACAGGAGTTCAGTGACTTGTTTCATTTTCTAGCAGATAACGAGATGGAGTTTTCATAAATAAGACCCTGACTGGTTCACTGTGCTTCACTGTAGCAGTACTTTGTGTATACTAGTAAGTTAAGTACGCCCTGACTAGAGGCTAAATGAAGTGGTACAACCCATGTCCCTACTATTAAACTCCCTTTGCTTTCAAAGCAAGGTAGTCTCATGCAGACTGCTTATTGGGAATGGTCCATACTCCATGCTTACACCTGAAATGTAGCCAAGAATTGTGTGTAGTTGGGCTCTGTACTGGCCAAAACCGTGCTAAGGGCTTTTCTAATAAATTTCCTATGGAGGCAGTCAGGTTCCAGTGCTCAAGAACATATAATTTTCCAATAAAGATGCAGCCAGTGATACTAACCTGGTCTTGCCTATTCCAGAACAGCCTTTGGGACACAATCCAATTTCTCCAAGCACATATTTTTACTTAGCATCTGTAGAATAATGTGAATCCAGTGTCAATATCAAAATACAGGCTAGCTGTTCGGGAGATGCTCTCATGATCTTTATGGCTATGAATACAACACTTTCACATCATTGTTAATTTTATCATTTTTATCTTTTGCAATTAAATATATTTGTAGTTTGGTAGTGCCTCACAGATCTTGCCATGGTGCTATACAAATGAAAAAGAGATACATAAAGTGCATGCCTCTAAATGAAATGCTCATAATCTTTTTTTGACTGTATACTGTATTACAATTGTCCTATTAAGGATAGTGTGCAAAATAATTGGGAGGTCCAACAGAGGCTACTGCAAATGATAACTGTGATCATTTTGTAGTGTGAGGCTGCTATAGAAAGTTGAGTAAATGTTATGCTGTAACTTGGCAGATTAATTTTATCTCATTTAACATGTGAATAGTTTGTACGCAAAGGTATCAAGAATTCCCTAATTTCAAAAAATGGTTTATTGTTCTCATGGACTTTTTTGCACTTAAATAAATACCAATCAATTTTGAATACGATTTCTATTTGCATATAATTGTATACTTTCCTGATAGGATGAGGGCAACTTTTTTAAACTAAGCAACTGCCAAAGGTATTTGCATTTGTAAGGTCCAAGCTTGCCTCTTGTGAATAGTCTTCAGCATTCAACTCAGATTTGCTGTGCTCCATCTTGACAGTGGACTTATCTGTAGAGTATTTGACCACGTTAGGAGAATGTTTCTCTCCCCCATTGTCCCTGTAAGGCTGTTAGCCTTTGACACCAATAAAAAAAAAAAAAAGAACCAAACACAGTACAAGAAAAATCCTGCATTGTTTAGTTTCCTGTTCTAGGTCTGAGTCTTTTTTGTTGTTGTTTCTTTTCTTGCTTGTCATGTAAAAAAAGGGGGGGCAGGGGAAGCACACAGGGAACTTTTGAAATGCATTGACTGATCTCTGGCTTGTTTTAGTCACTGTTTCAGAGCTTTGCAAAATCTCAGCTCTGATGAGCATTGAAGGCACAGGAACAGATATTCCCAGA